CCTTGTTTTTCAGTGCTACATAGTATTCCATTGTGTGAACAAATCATAGTTTTTCTAACCCTAAAAAAGTGGAACGTTTCACGGATTTGCATGTCATCCTTGGGCAAGGGCCATGCTAATCTCTGTATTGTTTCAATTTCAATATATGTGCTGATGAAGCAAGCACCTTACTATAAATATTGTCCAAGTTTGCTTAGGATGCCCTCAGGCCTCAGCCTCTAAGGGTTTGGGCTCCGTGGTGCTGGCTCCAATGACTCTTCTCATGTGCGGTTGGTGAGAATGACCCTGGTGGAAGTCATATCCCAAACCCGTCAAAACCACTACTGGTGCAGAGCATGCTTGCACTCTTCTCATGAGACGAGGTCTGGGGCTACCGCTTCTCCCCAGAGCAGGCCTTTCTGTATCCTATGTCTGTACACACATACACACACACACACACAGAGAGAGTTTTCTCTATTGCCTACCCCCTGCCTCTCATCTGCCCCAGTCCTGCTGGCAAAGAGAATAAGCCCACTGATGACAGCTCATGTCCAGGCTAAGGGCTCTGCTCACATGATCTCATTTAATCCTCCCTGCAGTCCTATCAGGTGTCACCGGGAGGTTAAGCTTCCTGCCTAATGCCACCTAGCTGGTAAGTGACAAATATAGAATTAAAACCCAGCCTCTAAGCCTCACTCTCAAGGTCTAGTACATGGGCTTCAGAGCACCTGAGAGATGCTCACTCTGACTGACTGAATCCAGAACTTCATGTGAATCTGATGATTTGCATGATCCCAGATGAATTACAAACCATCAAAGTAGGAAAAACACTGGTCTCTACTATTTTTCAAAGCCTGCTGGTACCCATGCTGGTTGCCTCCCCCTTCTATCCAAACTCTCAAGGTCCTTCTCTCCCTGCCCATCTCTCCCCCAGGTGGGACAGACTCTTTGTCCAAGCCTTGGATGACATGCCTGGGTCCAGGGCTCAGAAAGTGTCCCTGCAGCTAGTCCAGGCACAGCTGGACAATGTCAGAGCATGGCTGGCCCTCCCAAGGGCCCCAACTACTGCCTGGGACTCTCCTGGCCTCTCCTTCTCCGCTCCCTTCTGGACACCAATCTCTTGGCCTCTAACCATCACCAGTCTTGCAGTGTCTCTCCTCCCCGGACATTCTGCTTCCCCACTCTGAGTGCCCTGCGCTGGACACAAAGGGTCTTTCCAAGCTGCTATCAGGAGAGAGGCCAGGAGTTGCTTGGGAAACCTGGCCAGGCGCACAGGAAATGTCTGACACCGCCAGGCAAGCGGGACTTGGCCTCCCAAAGCAAAACACAGCTGGGCCAGCAGCGGGGCCCGCTTGGACTTTCCCAGATTTCATGGCACTGAGGCACCAGGGCAGAGGGAAACTGGGCTGGCCCGGAGGTTGCTTCTTATTAGAAACATGACAGTAGCCCCTGGCCAGGGCACTGTGGAGCTGCAGCCCAGGGACCTGCCTGGCCTGAGACCTTACCCAGGGCCTTGGTCTCTGCACCACATGAAACCTTCTCTAGAATTGAAAGACTCACCCCTATCTCATTTTATTCTCCTTCCCTAGCAATATCCTTTTCTCCCCAGCATCTATCCCATTCATTGCTTGATTCAATGCACAGTGACACAGCACTGACTATGTGCCACGCAGAGTCATTACTATGGTTGTTGTAACTGTTAGCTGCAGGTGAGCAGACCATAATTCATGGAGAACCTATGAACAACAGTGCAGAACCTTGTCTTATCTTGCACGTTTGTCACAGTCTCCAGCTTGTTCAAGTCCATTGCCACAGCCACTGTGTCAATCCATCTTGTTGAGTGTCTCCCCCTTCCACTGACCTTTCCAAGCATGATGTCTTTTTCAGACAGGCACCCTCTAACAACACGCCTTGAGAATATGAGATGAAGTTTCACCATCCATGCCTCCAAGGAGCACTCGGCCTGCAATTCTTCCAAACAGATTTGTTTACTCTTTTGGCAGCCCCTGGGATACTCAATACTCCTCGCCAACAACACTGCAGTGGTAGTACCAGGGATAAATGAATCAACAAAGAGGAAGCAGTCCCTGTTCTCAGAGCTCCTGAAGCAGTAGGGGGTCAGCCAGCAAATGAACACTAAGGACTGGAACATGGCAAGGGGGGTAGTCACACTGTCTGTCACAGGAGGTTCTGGGAACGGGCTGCTGTTGAAGGCTGACTCTTCAGTTAGATCAAGTCTCAGACAACTAATATGAATGTGATGCCTCCTATAAACTAAGCAGGCACTGTGGGAGGATTCACTGACAGTGAGTCAGCTCCAGCTCATAGGGCCTCCGTCAAGTCTCCAAGGCTGTAAATCTTATGCGAGAATGTCACAGATTGGCTGGTGGATTTGAACTGTTGACTTGTTGGTGGTTGTTGTTGTGTACCATAAGTTGGAACTGACCCATAGCTGACCCTCCAGTGGGTTTTCAGTGGCAGTTAATCACATTGGAGGAGACTGTCCACCCTTCTCCTGAGTAGCTGGTGGCCTCGAACCATGTGTTGTTGGGATTGCAGCATGGCTTCTTGCCACTAGGCCACGAGAGCTTCCTACCTTTTGGTTAGCAGCCTGATAAATTATGTACCATGCCACCATCAGAGGAGCTATGGAGAAATCCTAAGAGCACAAGAGAGTCCCTGCCTCCAAAGTCATAGGCCACCCAGAGTTCAAGTTCAGATGCAGGACAGAGACTCACAGGTAGAAGAGCCCAGTGTACGCTGCATGCAGCAACTGAGGGCTGATGGAATGAGGGAGGGCTTTTTTGAGGAGGTGAGAGTGTAATTCAAGAGCATAAGGGGGCAGGTTGACTTGACAAGCAACTGCTCATACACACACACACACACACACACACACAGTGGATAAAGTCCTTGTACAATGAAGGAAGCTCACAAACTAAAACAGAGTTTGTAGGGGAAGCCCAGCTGAAAGGACTGTGCACCCGCCCTGGCTGGCCTCTCCACTGCATACCCCAAAAGCCTTCACTCCAGGCAGAGGCCCCTGGGACACACCTGGGATCCATGAGAACAAGGCTCAGACCAGGGACAGATTTCCCCTTAAACAAGGTAAGCACCAGCTTGCCTGAGCTATTTGACTAATCTGTAGTGAACAATTTTGCCACAGATTAGTTTTTCACCACTCCTCAAGAATGGCTGTGTGTGGTGAAAAATATGTAAAAGTATTCACTACAGATTAGTAAATAAGCACAAGTATGTTCCTGTTTACCTTGCTTAACTACACACCCCGCATCCCTGTCAGGCACTGTAAATCCTCAAAGAGGTTTTGATTCTGAAAGAAAGTGTGATGGGATTGGGAGAGACACAGGTACCACCCATGCCTAGAAGCAGAATTTTAGATGTAGTGAAAACCGAGGAATTAATCACTATTGTTGTTATTCACCAGCAAGTTGGAACTGACTCATAGATGACCCTCCAGGGAGTTTCCAGAGGCTATCAATTGCACCAGAAGAAATTTGGTGGATTCGAACTGCAGGCCTTTGTGTTGGTAGTGCACCTCCTTACAATTAAACCACCAGAGCTCCCTATTCACTACAGATTACTGAATAGACACAATAAGTAAACACCTTGCTTATTGGATAATCCAGCCCTGGCTCAGGCCCCACCCACCTGCTCGCAGCCCATCCTGGACCCTCTGCTCTGCCATCTGGCTGCTCACAGGCTCCTGGCTCGCTCTGCTTTCTACATCAGCATCCCCAGATCTGGTCCAGAGGAGCTGGTTCTTTTCTTTTGATCTTTAGAGCTTCCTAGACCTTGATCCACATCCGTCTTTCAGTTATTCTCGTTCCTGGAAAACTGCTTGGGTGCTCAGGGGCTCAGAATTCCATTTTACCAGCATCCTGCTCTGTCTGGTCTCCCCCCTTTCAGAGGAGCTGGGCATCTTCATTCTCTTCCTTTTCAACCAATCCCCTGAGTTTATCTCAAAGTTACTTCAAAATCCCCTGAGTTTTACCTCTTCTCCCTGAGGGACCCATCTTTTTTTTTCTCCTCAGTTCAGTAAAACAAGGTTGCAATATTTCATAAAGAAGTTCCTAAGTAGGATAGGAATGGAAAAACCAAAAGGAAAACACAGCCCCTAGAAATGGACCAGTTTACAAAATTCAGGTTTCCTGTCGTGAATAGAAAAAGTCTAGCCAGATGGGCTGCCAAGAGACCAAGGAATTCTGTCCTTAAACACTCCCCTCACCACTGATTCGGCCCCTCCCTCAGATACTCCTTCTCTTCTCCTCCAAGTAGAGAGGTGGCAGGGAGTGAACTACGGGGTCTTTGTCAGGCAGAAGGCCCCTCTCTCATCCCAGAGACCACAGGTGGACAAGGAGAAGAAACAAGACTTAGAGTTTACTACATGTCAGGCATTACTCTAAGCATTTTCCTTACGGTAACTAATTCAATCCTTCCAATAATTCCATGAGGTGGGTATTAGCGGTTTCTGGCAGCTTACTGGTAAGAAATTGCTCTGCCAACCCAAAGGTACATGATTCGAATCCATTAGCTGCTCCACAGGAGAAAGATGGGTAGTTTCCTCCCATGCAATGTACTGTTTCTGAAAACCCACTAGGGGGTCAGCTATGGGTCAGTTCTGAGTCAACGGGATACAATAACATCTTATTGATGAGAAACTGAAGCTACGGTTTTGGGAACTTGCCCAAGGTCACCAGTCTAGGAAGTAACAAAAGTCAAGTTCAAAATTAGAGACTTTGGTCCATACACCCCCTCTCCATCTTCTCCCAGGTGCTCAAGGGTGGAGGCTTCATGCCAACCCCAATATCTGATTTCCTGTCTACCTGGCACCCGGGAGGGACAATTGATGAGGGGAAGGGGCCGGGAGGAAGGGCAGTTCTGGCTCTCTCCACTAACATCTTCTCCAAATGTTGGAGGAGATCATGGCCCTAAGGAAGAAGGCCCTCCAGAGAGGGACTGAGCCCCAGGATTCTGAGGTCTCCCCCACCGAGGAGAGGACTTACCTGGCCAGTGACAGCTGTGGTGTCAATGGCCGGCTTGTGGCCACAGTGTCTTCCCTGGCCGCACTGCTCCTGCGCAGGTTGGAAGAACCCTCAGCTGAGCGTCGGGGTGCTGGCCTGGAGTTCTGGGGGTCGAATTCCTCCTCTGGAATGACCTCCTCGCAGCGGGCTCCGCGGAAGCCTGAGCGGCACACGCAGAGCTGGGGTCGGCTGCAGGAGCCCCTGTTCTGGCAGGGCGGCTGGCACACAGCTGAGGAGACAGGAGAAAGGTGACAACAGGGATGGGGGGCCTGAGGCACAGGCTGCCCGCATGTCTTCCTGCTCAAAGGAGAGGACTGGGTGCTGCTTGCTCCGTCCCCCATGCAAGCTGGCAGCCAAACGTCCAACTTCAGAAGGCTCCTTGGCCCATGTCTTTCTCTCTCACCCACAAGCCTCCAGGATGAGGTTCACCTTTGACCTTTGGACCAGTGCAGGACTAAAAAACCAGAGCTGTGGAGTGGACTCGCTACCTGAGGCAGACACCCCTGCGAGGGAGGCTTCCTCTCTAACACTCTTATCACATCCTTCACTATCTTGTTTTTGCTCCCCCCCCCCAGTCTCATAACTTAGAAGAGAGATGTAAACAGTAGACTTTGAATGTAAATTGAGGAAGTCTGTTTTATGGGCAGCACTGGTGCAAAAGTCAGGAGATTTGTGTCATTTTTATTGTTTCCCTGTCTGTCTTCAATTGTGTGATCTTGAACTCACAGGGCCTCAGTTTCCTCATAAATCCCATGAGTCTGGCCTGGGGAGGTTAGGAGAATCTAAGGCTCTCTTGAAGGCATCTTCCTCATGAAAGAGTCTCTCTTTTTCTGGCCTGAGTCAGAGAAAACATCTGCTCTCAATCTCTCAACCCCTGAGAGAGGGGCAAAAGCCCTACCTGCCAGATCTGGGGACAAGGTAAGGCTGGAACTCAGCTCCTGCTCCAAGCCACCATTTAGTATTCAGACCACAGTTTCTCTCCTCACTGTCCATCCTCTTACAAAGTCTGAAGTCACTTCCAATGACCAAGGGCCAAGATAGAGTCAGGCTGAGGGATGTGTCCTCTGGGACTTCTCCACGGTCCCACCTGGGAACATGTATGACCAAAGGAGAACATGGTCTGGCTCATCCTGGACCCTCTAAAACCAAGTGTCTCATCCATCTGTGCCTATTCGTTCAGTACCTTTGGAACCCTATGTTGGAGAAGGTTCCACAAATAAAGAATGAATGAGGCACAGATGGATGAAACACTTGGTTTTATGAGACTGACAGGCTTCCTACTGCGTTAAGAAGCACCTGAGACATTTGGTTTTAGAGGGTCCAGTATGAGCCAGACCACGTTCTCTGAAGGGGGGCACTGGTGGCCTAGTGGCAAGAAGCTGTGCCGCAATTCCTTGTTATGAGTCAGACTCAGCACCTAACAACAATGATGCTTTGGGAACACAGCCCTTGCTTTACATGGAGCTTATAAATGAATAGGGAAGAATGACAAAGAACAAGAAAACAATAACACAGTGTACTGGGCTATTCAAGAGTTGTGAAAACAAACAGGGTGGTATAAGGATCTCTGCCTGAGGCAGGAGCTTGAGTTGGGTGGTCAGAGCAGGCCTCTCTGAAGGGTGAGATGTGGGTGGTGAAAGGAGGCGGGCAGGAGAAGATGAGGTCTTCCAGCGCAAAGCTTTGACGGCTCCAAGGAACTTGGCATGTTCAAGACATCAAGGAGGGCTGGGGGCCATGATGGGGAGGGGAGAGCTATGCAAGGTCAGGAGGAAGGCAGGGGTCAGGCTACACAGATCCCTACTGAAGACAGTTTGGATTTTATTCTAAGTGCAATTGCGAAACTATCAGACCAGGTGCTGGAGGTTTCAAGAACTAAACCCCGGAGAACAGGCCTAGAATCCAAACCTAGGGACTGGATGGGTAACTCTCCAAAATTCCACTTGGCCATGTCATCTCCCTCTCAGAAGTCTTGAGTGGCTCCTCAGAGCTTTTGGGATTCAAGTTCATGGCCTAGTGCTGAAGACTGTCCTAGAGAGCCCCTGCCTTCCTTACCCTCTGCTTTGCATGGACTGTGCCCCCTACCTAGATCTCCATCCCTGCTTCTCTCCACTACCTAAGGCCCACCTCCCCATTTCTAATAACCCACCTCCCACCGCTCCCTCCTCTGAACACTAGGAGCAGCACCTCTGTGCACAGCAGCCACGGGGCATGCCGTGTGGCACCTATAGTGCCGTGGGGCTTCTTTGGCAACTATCCCCACTCTCTATTGTCAAAGCTTGATATCACCTCAACTGTAAGCTGTACCACTAAGCAATAGCTCCCCATTCCCCATTCTTTCAGTTTCTGTTGTGGTTATGTGCCCTCGAGTGGGAACTGATTCATAGCTGACCCTCCAGTAGCTTTTCAGGGGCAATAAATAGCACAGGAGAAGATAGCTCATCTTTATCTCATAAAGCAGCTGGTAGATTCGAGTGGAGTGCACGTGGCAGAGCAAGTCCTTACTACTGGGCCACCAGAGCTCCCTAGTAAACACTACTCTACTTTGTGTCCTAGGCATTTGCCTAGTCTAGATATTTCATATAAGTAAGATCATGCTATATGTGACGTTTTCAATCAGCTGTGGCTTCTCTCAACCAGCATAAAGCCCTCAAGGTTCCTCCATATTGTAACACATGCTCATTCATCAGTTGATGGCTACTTGGGTGGTTGTCCACCTTTTGGCTTTTATAAGTAGTCCTGCAATGACCAATGGTACTGAGTATCTGTTTGAGTCCTGTTTTCACTTCTCTTGGATATATAACTGGAATGGAATTGGATCATTCAGTTTAATTTTTTTAAAAACTACCAAATTACTTTCCACGTTGGCTGCACCGTTTTACACTCCTGCCAGCAACGAACAAGGGCTCCAATTTCTCCACATTCTCACCAACACTTAATGTTTTCCATCATTCCATTGTTGCTTTCTATCTTGCTTTTTTGTAACAGCCTTACTAGGTATGAAGTAGAATGGACTTTTCACAAACATGTCTCAATTCCCCAAATAATATAATGAGTCCTTTGTAGTGTTTTGATTGCCCCTTATGCTTCTTTGTCATCTTAGACCATAGCACGAAGCGTAACGATAATAAGTTGTTATTATTTATGATGATGGCATCAACTGTCTGTTGAGTGTTTACAATATTCCAGGCACTGTATTTGCATACAAGATCTCATTTAATCCTAGCAGCAAGCCTCTGCCCAGGTGCAATTATTTTGCAAATAACACCTCTGAAGTTCAGAAAGTTGACGAGAGTTGCCTGTTGTCATCCAGTTAATCAATGAAGGAGGTAGGACTGGAATCCAATCCAGGTTTTCTCACAACTACACAAGGTATGAGCCTAGGTAGGGCTGGCATGGTTCTTCCTCCCTCTCACCTCTCACTCTTGGCCTGGAGCTAATGGTGAAATAAAAGGAATCTGTTGACTTCAAGTTCACCTCCAGCACACCATGTAGCATGGAAGCCAGGATGCATAAGCGGTGTGATTAGTACTGAATTGGCAGGTTAGTGCTGGGTCACGGAAGCGAAGGTGGGGAGTAGGGAGAAGAAGAGAAGGCAAGTAGAAGGTGATATTGATCAGACTCCCAAAGGTGAGTAGACTGAGCTCAAGGCCAAAAAGTGGACCCAGGGGCCAGTCTGCTTAGTCTGGGGTGAGGAACAAGGAGAGCAGGAAAATATCAGGTCTTATTCTGGGATCTCAAACAGTCCACTGGTGGATCCCTGGACCAGAACATCTTCCTCAGGGCTGTAGACCCTGAGGCCTGCCAGGTTTGTAAACCATGTCAGAGCATTATAACCCAGAACCATTCCTTGAATGCAAACTATAGCATTCTAGATCATCCACTGGCAGGCATCCGTCCAAGCTGCCTTAGTCACCAGCTGACTGGATCCTTGTCACCACTGCCAGAAACAGCAGCTAAACTGTGACCAGCAAGCATAAAGGTGGAGATAAGTCCTGGACAGGCCTTGACCCTGGGTTTTTTGGGTGATAGAGTAGAAATGGGCAGCTTGAGTAATATCCCATGTAGGCTATGTGTGCCACACTACTTCTATTCCTGGGACCCAGACATCCCCTCTGGCAGAAACCAAAGTCTTGGCAAGACCAAGCCAACACACGGTTTTTTGGAACTTGCTTTCACATCTGAGTTGGGGAGCCCTTGCCCATAAGCAGCATTTTGAAAAAGAGTCTAGCTTCAATTCTTCTCCTTCTGAGCTCCAGGGGTCACCTACTCTTAACTTTAATGACAAGATCTCTAGAACTCAAGCTAAATGGTTAATATGTTCAGTGGCTCATCAAAAGATTGGAGGTTCAAGTCCATCTAGAAGTGCACTGGAAGAAAGGCATGGTGATCTCCTACTGAAAAATCATCCACAGAGAGCACAGGACTATTCTAACACATCTGGGGTCACTATGAGTTGAACTTGATAACAGGTCTATAGAAATCTTCGGCTAAGAATCAAGCTCTGTTTTCTTTCCTAACACATTCCACAAGCAATCATTAAGTACCTTCTCTTGGTTGAACCGAATGCCAGGAGAACAAGACAAGTCCCTGGAGGAAGCTTTGCCCAGTGGCCTGCTTGCGAATAACCACAAGAGCCCTTGATCAAGCAGGAAGTTAGATCCTTAGTGAAACCCAGAGTGGGCAAACTTTGATCAGTGCAGTTAATAGCTCATACAGAATGAGTGGTTAGGGGGAAAGCTATTATAATGGCATTTTATACATGCATATAACATCTTGAGTAAACAGAAGTTCTACAAAACATTCACTTCCAGTCAGATTTGTTGGCAGAAAAGTCTGCTTGGGAAGATAACCCCTCCGGGTCAACCATTGAGGACACTTTGTATGGAGGCCTGATGTGCAGAGACAGATCCTGACAAGCTTCACGTTTTCTGAGGGTTTGAACCAGACTTCACAGGCTTGTCACTTAACGTCTTTCACTTACACCTCCTCTTGTGTTGTTTCCACTAGTCTCTGCAAGATATAAATAACAGCCTGATTCCTCACCGAAGTGGTCAAGGGTTCTGTCCTGCCTGTCTGCTGAGCTGACTGTCTGCATTATAGGAATGGAATAGGAGTTACTTCTCTGTCCACTCTCACACGGTCTACCATGGTGGTTCTGAGTGCCTACCTGTGAGAGAGGACATTTTCATGAAAACTCTTACTGGTTTACCTAAAAACAATAAACTTAAA